TCGATGCGTTCAATATAATGTATTAACGAATTTAACGATGTTAGCCTAATTTATGTGAAGACAAGCCTTGTTACACTTTTCACATTTCTACAAATGAATTATTTTTTTGTGAAAACACATAACAATGCTTACTTTTGTGGTAATTGTGTTTTTTTCTGTATGCTAAGTGTTTACATTCAGAAGAATTATATATCATCAAACGCTTACTTGATTTTATTTAATGGTGGCCACACGCACTACCCTCACTGGGCAGCAACGCCAAACGGTCTAATCCAGTAATTACTATACATCCCTTTGCAGCACTACTCATCATCAATCAAGTAGCCCCGACAGAACAGTAGCAGGAACTGATGTTAAACACCACGATCGTGTCGTCCGGTATTGTTATTGTAATAACAATTAGTTGTCATAGTTAATTGTTTCCCATCATTTCTGCTGTCCATATGTCCGGCAGCATCGGGGGAAGCTCGGGTCATTACGCCAATGTCAATCAGATCGGGTCTCGGAGTGCACCTGCTGATACAACAATACCTCGGAAAATTGCGACAATACTTGGGGAAATTACGACAATCACGCCCTTTATTAAAGACAAAGAGCTGGACTAATTCTAGTCTGTTTACGTCCATTAAAAGCCAGCTCTCATCTCAATCTGCAAATGATCAACAAAGCTACATGAAGTCGACCCAGGAGCCATAATGCCAAACCAGTGCGGAACACTTGTAAATTCGGCCACTCGTGAAATAGACCTGTATTCCTTAATTCACCCTCTTCGTTACCGTGAAACCTTTTAGCCGAGGGAGTTATGAAAAGAGAGTGACGGTCGATTGCCGAGCTGAATTCTGTACGCCTTTTCTTGATGCTCGTCATCCCGAGTATGAAGAAGAAAAAGAGGGCGAGCTGTGTGTGAAGAGGCAACGGAGGGGGAAATGGGGAGTTCTTTAGGGGGGTTAGAGACGCTGGCCTGACAAGGTAATTGTTAAGCAGTATACATCGCTCTATGATAAACATGGTGGTCTGGAAAGCTTGTAGTGTTAAACTATGCGAGTAATTGTTCAGTTTTCACTGACTCAGGCACGGCTTAGATGGAGTTTATCTGCTCGACGAAACACAGGAGCATGAACGCACACCTGCAGGCTACACCGTACAAGGTGAATACGCTCTTGTGTCGCTAAACTCTGGTATATGTTCTATTCGGCCAAGTGTTTATCCAAACGAAACTGCGTTCCTAAATGCACCCGCCCACTGAGTCGATTTCCAAGTTGTACGCTTACAAAATGAACATACTGTTTTCAATCATAACTTCAACTTTGAATGCGTGGAGTTTGGAAATTGAAATGTGCTTCGCTGTCAATGCCATCATTATGTTGCGGGGATCGGCGATCGTAGACAGCGTTTCGTGATAAGTAAATATATTTCGACATGCTTTTATGTATATACATGTCAGCAACGATTAGCCTTGAGGCAAGATAAACATAAACACTATCGAGGTAAAATATGATAAATACACCCGTGATTCAACACGAGAACCCAATTGACAAGGAAAGCGGGATTCCGAGAAGCAAACAACTTAACGTGTGCTTAAATCGTGTTCTTTAAAGCCACTCGCGGGACTTAGTGAGCTGCTGAAGCTGGTGAAATTATACATCAATATCCTCCTTTCAGATCTTTTTAAAAGTGTAAATATATTGAATAACGTGAAAGAAAGTATGGCATGTATATGATCTAAAAATATTACACATAGCTTTACCAATGTTATAGTCCTTTAAATTTCGAGATTATTTATTTTTTCAAAGTCATAGATTGGTATTTAAAGCATCATCGGAGAAATATTACTGAACACGTTGACATTGTAATATACTAAACGTTACTAAACCAAATAAAATTTTGCTTTGAAGAGAAAGCCCTTGTTTCATACGTGAAAATGCAAACAAGACTTGAAATGTAAACCTAAAGCAGTTTTAAATTGTGGGACGTTAGAGGGACTGCAGTTGTGTTAAACGTGAGTGAGTTGTGTTTAGCGCCGCTTTAACCAGTAATTCAGTTATATCACAGCGTGTCAGCTTAATGTGGGAGGGAAACCCGACGTGATGCAGGTTTAAGACGTTCGACAGTTTGGTGAAACCTGCAGTACGAATGAGGTGCTGACAAACCGAGAAACAAAATCATGAAGAAATATCGGATTAACACCCATCATCACACATTTCTGGCACGCCTAATAGACGCAACTCGACCTAGCAAATTGAATCCCCGTGCTGTTGGCTATACGACTGGGCCCTCACAAGTTCGCAAATGATAGCATGAATTGACAAAATGTTCATGTGTATCGTGCGCAATTATCTGACCAGTACAAATTACCAAAGATAGCATGTAAATAGATTCTAGTTTTATTTTTTTCTCTCAGTAATTTCTATGGAACTATTTTTTTAAAACATGGTCATGACATTTAAGTGCTAGCTATAGTTGTGTGCTATAAAACCTCGGCAACTGACCATAGACAAGATCTGGTCTTAAATCATCCTACGTTAAACAGTTATGTCTTTACTGCATGGAAATCGTATGTGTTTAGATTAAATGAATATCGAAAAAAATCTTGAATCATGAAATATTATGCTAAAATTTAAAAAATTCACCTTGAGCATATCAAACGATAATACTGTATGTAATTATACAAATCAGGGAATCTATATAAGTTTCATATAAACTCTCTATTAAAATCCGCGTTGAATTGATATAACGTCAACAACGTCAATGCAAGAATACAGTCGGCAAAAGGGAACTTGTTATACAAGGTTGTGTTAATTTGTCTATAATGATGGAAAACGACACAACCATTCACGATTACAACATCCGTATGGTGGGCGTGGAGATTCTTTTGCCTAAGTTTTGTAAAAATTAAATTGGCCGAACAATTACGATCTAATCTAGCCCATGTTATATAAGGCTCATGCATCTTTAAAACACGGAGTCATACACCACTGGCAATTGGGCACTCTTCATCTCTGTTATAAGAATTACAAGTACTGGGTTGTGAATGAAATTAATTTAACTCTTAATCGGTTTTAATTCAGTTAATGTTTTTAATTGTTTTTAAATCAATCCGTTTTTTGATATTGCTCCTCAATTTTTTCGCTTCGTTTCTCGATCGTCATAACAGGAGCAGCCTTTATGATCGCTGAAAAGACGTCTTTGCATTTAGAGAAACATTTGTGTCTATTGAATACCCATTTTACTTCTCACATCCAGGTGGAAAGGTCCCAAATAGGCATATATGGGGGGCAATAAAAAAGACCCATCTCTGCCGAAATGTACATTTACACAACAAACAATTAAGGAGATGAAAAGACGCTTCCCTACTCTCACAAGTGTCAGAAAAGTGAACAAAACGACTGCGAAAGAAATAACGAATGTTGCCCTCCCTTCCCCGCCCCCTAACCGCTCATTCACAGCAGATAAAGCAAACCACAGACCTAACCACGGCAACCCTGGCTTCATTGTCGAACATTGTAGTTCACGAAGTTCCCGCCAGGTGCGCTGACAGTGTCACGTGACGTCAGTTTGCACTTTCACTCCTTGACTAAATACCTGTGAAGTTGCGACGGAGTTCCTTGGAGCGGAACATTTGGTCATATTAATTCATCGTTGTAAGTTCTGTGTGGCTGTCATGGTTCTGGTTTTATGTAGTCAGGTATTTGGAGTTCAACTCCGCATTTGTAACAGTATTTCAGTTACATGACGATGGCTTATTTTAAATATGTGATGACATGAATGCTGTAGATATGTCCTATTTTGGTGAACAAACTGTTCGGCCGAATAGATCAAGGATCGTATTCGTAATGATTCTGGGATTCGAACCCAAACCCAGCGCATCCCGGCAGCTAAGGGACACTATTCTCAACAGAGCCCATAGGGTCACCATGTTGATGTAACCAATACATGGCGATCGTTTTAAGACACTTACACATTATTATTCTTCTACTTGTCATCGTCGTCTTCATCGACATTATTATTATTATTATTATTATTATTATTATTATTATTATTATCTTAAGCGACATGGTGGAGTGGCTCGATCCTTTTATTACCGTCTTCGCCATGCTTGTGGTTTTGACATAGAGGTCAGTCCATGGTACGACCCAGAATATGTAGAGGGCGTCATGGAAAAATGATAAACATAATATTCTTTGGAATAGGCCCGTATACGGCCTCAGACCTATCCAGGCCAACAAACCTAACTTGTCCTTTTTGATAAATCCTATCAAATCATTAATATCATTGAATTTGTTGAACCTTTTGACACTAATGTGATTGCCTAGATTCAGGAAAAACGTGACAAACATGCGGACCTCGCTTCTGAAATGCCACGCTTGCATCCAAAATACCAAGTTGTCCGACTCCCCATTGTTCTCGGTGCCTTAGGTTTGGTACCTCCGAATCTGTTGACTGACACTGGGAGAGTACTCGGATTGGTTACCAGGAATACAGCCCTTCTGACAATCTGGGTAATGCAGAAGGCTGCAGTGTTGGGGAGTCTTCACATTCTCCGAAACGTTCTGGGTGGGTTTGACTAGGCAGCGCTTCCTGGGAGAAGTCCCATTCGCTGTCTGGGCTGCGTGTAGAGGGGGCAAGGGCCCTGGGCTGATGAGGAGCCTAACCAGCCTGACTGTGCCAGGATTAATAATGGGCTTTGATTCTGATAGTTCAAGAATGAGAATGGGTGTGATTTCGTGGAATTGCTTATACATGGGCTGATCGTGTTCAGTTTTTGCCAAATAGTTCAACCACGTTACCAAAAGAGTGGTTTATTTCACCCTTGTAGGTCTCAATGGAGGCATGTCATTGTGTCAGCCATATGTGTCAGATTGGAAGGATCGCAGTACGCAGTTTTTAGATAATTACTCACTTTTTGAAAGTTTATTACCGGTTGACAATGAACAAACTAATTCTTCAATCTCTCTCCAGCAGAATGGTGGTAAATTGATGATGATGATGATGATGACAAGACGTCGGTGATGACGATAAGGACGCTGATAGTGATGTTGATGGTGATGACGACGACAAGGACGCCAATAGTGATGCTGCTGATGATGACGACGGTGCCGATGATGACGATAAGGACCCTGATAGTGATGTTCGTGACGATCACAATGACGTCAAAGACGCTGATGATGACGTCAAAGACGCTGATGATGACGACGACAAGGACGCCGATGATGACAAGGACGCCGATGTGATGCTGTTAATGATTACGATGACGACCAGGACGCTAAAGATGACAATATGGACGCTGATGGTGATGTTGATGATGATCGCGATGACGACGAGGATAATAATAACAATAGTGACGCCCATAATGAACAGCAATAGAACCGTTTTTTTCAATCGTTGACTATTACCACAACATTTCAAAACCGTTACCAATAATATTACATCAACTGCTTGATTGTTAGTAATTGATTACTTTGAAAGCACGAGAATACATCCACTGGCCCAATTATGAAAGTCAAGAAATGTGGCAATTAGCAGATACAGATACATTATTAAAAAGAAAGAAATGAGAAAATTACCGAAGAAGATCAACTTGTTTTTTTCATTTCCCCAAAAACATTGCCCCACAAACATGCCCCTAAAACAAGCCAACATAGCATAGGTGTTCATACCATTCTTGACATCTCTTTTTAAACCGACATCCTCAATGATACGGAAAATGTGCTGGTAAAGAGAGAGTGAAAACTTGTATTCCATGACTGTTATCTGTCGGAAATGCCTATAGAAACACTCTCTCTTTTTCTCTTCTAAATAACGTCCGCAGTGTTAAAATATCCATATTTTAAAAACACAAAGTATATGATTTAGCTAGCACTTGGAGATATGCTCTTGTCATAGTGACACAAAGGACCTTTAGAATAATGTGGAGCAGTATCAGTGCAAATGCGTAATGGAATAATTAAATATCAATCAATCTCATTTGAATTTATTTACCTCTCATCAACTAAAGCATGTCGACAGAAATTCGGTTGATAATTAAACTGTATATTTAAATAGACTGGCGGATTGATATAATTTCATTAAATGTTCTTTATGAATAATCAACTTCTACATTAAACAACAATTTCAAAATTAACTGATAAAATTAGATAATATTTTGAAAGAAACATCCTCACAACATGAGCTTGATTCGGCCATGTAAATATGTTAATTTAAAGAAAATGCGTCACTTTCGATGACAGAAAAAAGACAAATATTCATTAAAACGCTGGCATAAAACCGCATAATTTATGCATTATAACGCGTCAGGATAAAATAAAAGACCTTTTATTGAAGTGGTAATAAGATCCTGTCTCATCAGACACTGCCCCGGCGGCCGACGACCATGTTCGATCCCGTACAGCTTAACTTAACTGTTCATTAATGTCAACTGCGATGACAATAGCCGGTGTTATATGGCGATCAACTCCTGTGTGTTATTCGCTGTGAGAACAAGACCAGCAAACAGTCGGCTGTGAAGAGAGGGCTAAACGTTTCGGACTTGGAGAAAATTAATTTTTCTGCTTTCCATATGGTGTGTTGATCTAATCGCTGGCTATTCCCCTTCCCCAATACAATAGAGGCGCGGGGCCTGCTTCCCGCTAGATGGCGCTGTTGACACGAAGTCCCTCGATCCTGCCGGCAGATGGCGGCACTGCTTGCACGTGACTGCGACACACTCGCAGAATGGCCAAGCGGCGGCCGACGTGGTTGGGTTTACATTTCAAAAGTTTTCATTAAAAGAGCAGATTTGCTAATTGACCCAACAGATTGTCTATATTTCGTCTTGATACAGTGACAGTGTGTTGAAAACATTAATCTGGCATCGGTTATTGAAGAAGATGAATACGGTCATGAATGAATAAATGCGATCGAAAATTGGTCTTTTTGGTGTGTTGTTTGCGTTGGAATGTAACGCGAGCCTTGTCGATAAATGGAAATCTTCTAACAATTTTCCTCTATAGCATAATTTCAGATTGTTTTTTCTAGGGATACGGTACAGTACTTCACGCGGAGGCGCATATGTTGTGAAATTAAACCTTTAAATGCGTCAGCGATGTAATTTTATTATGAAGTATTAAACAAGTCATTTTAATCGTGGGAGGTGGACTTTGATGTTAACCATACATTATGGCACCGTCAGATTCGAGGTTTGAATGCATGTACCGAACGAAGGGACCGGTCTTGTGATGTATTGAAACCTTTTTAGAGACAGAATATATCTTTCGGTCACTGCATCCAGACGTACAATTGTTTCACTTAAGGAAATATTTCCTGTATGGCCCACATGCTAAGGCGCCGCAATTCGCGGTGCAGAGTTGCGCCCCATGGGCACGTCATAAACCTGTGATTGTGGGTTCGAATCCCAGTTCGCCTGGGATATGTTTCTAGTACCAAACCCGTGCCGGTAAAACTATGACACCTACATCACTTCTGGCTTTCTTCCCTTTCTGACACGCTGTGATATAACTGATTGCTGCTAAATGGGACGTTAAACCAAACTCACGCATTCCAGTATATTTTCTGGAACAATTTATTTTTTCTTTTGGACAAACTATACAGACCAGTCCTGTCCCAGGGTTGTTGGTTAGTATAAACTTAGAAGCATTGGAAGTGGGTTATCTCTACAAGCTTTTGGGATGATGAAACACGGATGATGCAACTCGGACGAACAATGAATTAATTCGCTATAGTCAAATATAGCAAAACAATTTCGTTATTAACAACGAACCCAGTACCGGTTTATTAGTAGTACTGGGCTAGAATCTTAATGAGTGCTCCTTTGTTATATAACCTACCCAGCTCCCCGGCGGTCTGTAAATAATCGAGTCTGGATCAGACAATCCTGTTATTGACATCAATAGCATCTATCTACGCAATTGGGATGCGATGGCATGCATCAACCAAGTCAGTGAGCCTGACCACCCGATCCCGTTAGTCGCCTTTTACGACAATCATAGTCTCCTTTTACGGCAAGCATAGGTTGCTGAAGACCTATTCAACCCCGGAATCTTCACGGGGGACAAGCCTGGGTTGCTGAAGACCTATTCAACCCCGGAATCTTCACGGGGGACAAGCCTGGGTTGCTGAAGACCTGTTCTACCCCGGAATCTTCACGGGGGACAAGCCTGGGTTGCTGAAGACCTGTTCTACCCCGGAATCTTCACGGGGGACAAGCCTGGGTTGCTGAAGACCTGTTCTACCCCGGAATCTTCACGGGGGACAAGCCTGGGTTGCTGAAGACCTGTTCTACCCCGGAATCTTCACGGGGGACAAGCCTGGGTTGCTGAAGACCTGTTCTACCCCGGAATCTTCACGGGGGACAAGCCTGGGTTGCTGAAGACCTGTTCTACCCCGGAATCTTCACGGGGGACAAGCATGGGTTGCTGAAGACCTGTTCTACCCCGGAATCTTCACGGGGGACAAGCCTGGGTTGCTGAAGACCTGTTCTACCCCGGAATCTTCACGGGGGACAAGCCTGGGTTGCTGAAGACCTGTTCTACCCCGGAATCTTCACGGGGGACAAGCCTGGGTTGCTGAAGACCTGTTCTACCCCGGAATCTTCACGGGGGACAAGCCTGGGTTGCTGAAGACCTGTTCTCAACCCACGACAACGCGGACAAAGCAAGAAACACCACAGCGGATCTGGGATTCGAAACCAAGATCAAAGATTTCGCCATGCAACTTCGCACGGCTGGACCACTTCGTGTTCCCGGTTATGATAATAAGATGAGGAGGCACCAACATGCGTGTTTTACCTTTATCATACATGTGATTTAAATAAATCTTTTCTCTGTTAAGACGTGTGAGACACATATCAATCTGTTAGAGACCATATAAAAAAAGCGGCTTTACTTCAAAGACTGTCGTAAGCATTTGAAGTACGAGCGTCATAACAGTTAATTTTGTGGAGTTTTGTGGAGATACTTTAACATATTTTTACCACTGTTTTAACACAAAGGTCGCTTTGTGCATTGATTGATGCGACGGTGTGCACAAACTGTCTTCATTGGTTCCATGAAGAAAGTGTTTTCATATACATCTCCGTACTACCCGTGACGACCCGGGATAGAACAGGTCATCAGCAACCCATGCTTGTCCCCCGTGAAGATCCGGGGTAGAACAGGTCATCAGCAACCCATGCTTGTTGTAAGAGGCGACTAACGGGATCGGGTGGTCAGGCTCGCCGACTTGGCTGATGCATGTCATCGTATCTCAGTTGCGTGGATCGATTCTCATGATATCAATCGCTGGATTATCTGGTCCAGACTCGATTATTTACAGACCGCCGTCATATAGGTGGACTATTGCTGAGTGCGGCATTAAACAACAAACAAACAATAACATATCCGTAAAGTGACATGTCTGATTATGATATACATAGCCCCTCCAGAATTATTTTCTGTTCAAATTCCTGTTTTCCCTGACTCTGATTGGTGGTCTGTTTGCACCATAACCCGTTCGTGGTGCAGTCAAAATGGTTAAATGTCTATTGACTCATTTTTTGTATTTATCCCATTTTAGGTGCACAGGTGTGATGTAGCTTAAATATTGTCCAAATTGGGGTAAAAACAAAATCACCATTTTTGTTTGAATATTTTTGACCGATAATAACTTGGTATTCTGGTAGACAGAGTAAATTTGGTAATTGAATGATTCGTTTTAAATTTTAAAAAACAATTAATGTTTTTACCGCTAATTTTAAGATAGCGTCTGCAGGTGTTAAATGAACGTTTACAGTTATAACAAGAAGCGTCCCAACAAATAAAATATTTATTTTTCTTCAAACTCGTTTACCGATATATACACATTTAACTGATGTATTCCGTGTGATGCGGTTTAGTTAGCGGTACAAGTTGTTACCAATTCCGTTTGAGGCTGGGGGGAAGTAGCGTCCTCTTTTGTAGTAACCCCGCCTGAGTAACGCGGGGGTACCTTCCCTTTATATCAAAATCGAAGAAGACAATCACTCATCAAATAATTGATTACCAAATCTATTTGATCATTGACAGTACAAGCCATGCGCGCTTCTCTCAAAGAATGTATTTTCTCATTAAATATTCATTACAACAGACATGGTCTTATCATCTGCGCGTGGCGTTACTGTAACGCTCAAGTGACCCCCCGTCCGTGAATTGTCCGCCTCCCCCCCCCCCCTCTCCAGACACCATTCCCCATCACTCACCCACCACCAAGCATCCATCACTCCGCGTTGGTAGTCGGCGATTATACCTGCATAATTCAGTGTTCTTGTGATCGGGACGGTTAACAAGCTATTGTATTTGTTTCGCCTGCGATGACTGAATTCGTTGACTAGCTATGAATATTTCACATGCAACTCTCTTAACCCGGTGTATCCTAATCGCTCCCCGTTCGCCCGGAACCGGCGTGATTTAAAGACAAATCGTTGAGAACTTGCGTTTCAGTTCAGAATTTAAACACTAATGTTTTAGGCGACGGTTAATGTCAGTGAAAATGTCATTTTATGTACTTGTGTGAAATTATAATGACGTGAATGTCATTAACTGCCCTTTAAAGTTCGATTACATATAATTAATTACACACTTGGAGAGATTCTGGCCTGACATAGATCCCCCAAATAATATATTTGAAACCTAACGTAAACGGCCGGGCAAAAATAGTATACACTTGAAAACTGGATTTGACCAAAAGTTACAAATATTATCAAAACGTTACAAGGTTGAAAATAGTCGGCGTAACACTCCAAACTTAAGGTCAAATATACAACTATGATACCCGTATCTTATATACATCACCATCGAATAACCAATTCTGATTTGTTTTAATTTTAGCTACAATCAAACATGGGTTACTACTACTACTACTACTACTACTACTACTACTACTACTACTACTACTGCTGCTGCTACTACTACTACTACTACTACTACTACTGCTACTACTAGTACCAGAACTAATCAACTACTACTACGAATCTTCTACTCCTATGACTACTACTACTACTACGCTGGGTGACTTGGTTGATTGTGTGTCATCGTGCACCGACAGCGTGGTTCACAATATCAATCATTGGTTTGTCAGGTCAAGATTGTTTACAGACCGCCGTCATATAGCTGGAATATTGCTGAGTGCGACGTTAAACAATAAACACTACTACTACTACTATTACTACTACTACTACTACTACCTCTGCCCCCATCTCTCATCCCCGCCACACATTAACACATGAAGATGTTGCTTCACTCAAAATGGTAGCAGCAAATCTGCATACATGTATGTCTTCCAGCACTTCCGGTTAGATATGCCCCACATTTTCACTGACAACTTATCCACGTGTAATTTTCCTGACATGGATGTTAATCTTGAGAGAGGAAAAACTGCATTTAAACTGAGAGCAATGACTCTCATTTCCTAGTAAATCTTCCATACTTGTGTTCTTGATGACGTTTTGTCACAACTGTTAGGAAAATAGCATGCTTCGCCGAAAGAGGCTTTCATTTTCACAAATGAATTGATATGCATGCAGAAGCAGAAATTCACATTACAAAATATTATCACCAAAATTAAAACTCTTCTTAAAATTGGATTAAATAGATATGATCTTAAATATCAAACGCTAACAACAGACTGAATTGAAATATGATGCCATATTTGGGATAAAGAGAGATATTGTTTGAAAACATTGTCTTTGTGTTGGTAGCGGAAGCACTGATGGTGAAATCCGCTCCAACCACGGGTAAGTTCATGCTGCAAGGTTTGACGCTCTCCCCCACCCCACCCGCTGAGTACGGCCTCACCCCACAGACCGTAAGCCGGAAAGCATAGGTGCCGCCGTTGTTGCCTTATGAAAGGCGATCACGCCTTCTCTGGGCAAGAATGTGTTGCCACTATGCTGTTGTAAAATGTACATTCAGTGATGAATAGATATGACATTTGGGTTAAGACACTTTGAAGATGTACATATAACACATGTTTTGTTTACAGATACGGATTTCACCAAATAAACAACAAACGATCATTCGTGTGACATGTTATTTGTGTGTGCAAAGTACAATTTTTACATTGACATGAAATTAATTTGCCCTTTTAACTAAATTTTAATCTATGAAGTATTTTTTTTATCTTGGCGGTAAATTGAAAGTGTGCGATGTCCATGTCCAAAGTTGAGTGATAGGTTTCAGATACCGATCCTTCACTTTGGATGAATCGCATTATATTTGAAATCCTTTTATCCCCGTTTATTAAATTCCTTTTATCGCTTATAAATGATGCTTATATCGACCAACAAAATGACCAAAGCGTATATAAACAAAATGCGTTTGATATCTAATATCCATCGCTAACACATATATCACAGTGCAATCGCTTAACCTCGCTCGGCGGTGAAATGTACATTGATGTACGAGCGTGTCAGGTGACATGACGCGAGCTTGTGTGCACAGATGATGGACGTCAAATAACTCTTGTCGATTTCACTGACATAGCAAGCTTTTATAGCCATATATTGCACCAACTGCACGACACACATTCGGTTAAAATGTATTTGTCAATCACATCACTTGGTTTGCTTTCGGAAGCGAGCTAGAAAATCGCAGAGTATATATCCTTAGATAAAAGGTGAAAGCTGATTTTATAGCGAATAAATATTTATAGATATCAATCGGTGTGAATTGAGCAACATGGGTTATAGAGTACATTAAATACTCATCACATTGGCAGCTTGATCGGTCCTCCTTTCGCTTTTCATGATCAAGCCACGACGGGTTCATATTTTGCGATGACAGTCAATTTGTTGGGATAAATTGATGAATAGCTTTCGCTCACGAAATGCACAGTATGAACGATGAATGTATTTTAGCTGGGTATTGATACACAACCCCAACCATCCACTGGTCCCAATCAGGCTAAATTGGTACGTGGTTTATTTCATTGCCCAAATGGGCGACCGATAGGGGTCCAATCAGTAAAACATAAATTTTCCCAGTACGGAAAATTTAATTGCAGATGAATTACTAAAATTAAAACGCGACTGGTTTAATTCATTAAAATATTTGAGACCGTGTGATTGATGAAGTTTACAGCGACGTCGGTGATGATTCTCAGCTCGGAGCGTGCATAACGTCGCGCATGGTGGTGAACCGATCAGCATAATTACGACCAATACTTGGGAGAATTTTCCTCGATTAAATATTAATCCGTGAGCAAGTCGACACCAGAAGCCCAAGCATGTATACAAGAGCATTGTTAGCGTTAAGCGCCTGTCATTTTCGGACTTGTATGGAGGCCACGCCCCCTGGCTTAAAGCCCCGCCTGTCGCTTAGCCTTGATTCACTGGCGAACTGGTATAGTGCCTACCGCTAGACGAGCGATCTGATTGGCCAGTTGACTGGCAACACTGATCACTTGTGTTGATGTGGAAGTTGGTCGTATGTTGACCTATCACGAAGCTGACAGCGACCGGTAGCAGTGACGAAAGGCATTAAGTGCCGAAGGAGGGAAACTGGGCAGGTATATAACAGAGCTAGTTGACCTCTTCATCATATCAAGTGCTACCGACACGTTAAAAACCGAACAGGGAGCTCAGAGAGTGAGCATCAAGGATATTCGTTCCCCTCACCCAGAGTGAACGCTCACCTGAACAAGGGTCTGTTCCCCTTTCCCCTTCGTGGTATCTTTGGAGGATTTCAGCCTTCTGTGGATTCACAGCCCATGACTATAACCCACTAACAACACAAAGGTACGTGTCATGAATGTTCGTCATTTTAAGTTAGTGTTGAATTCTTACATATTTCCCCAACCATCCTACTATTCATAAATCCTATTTATGCTGTATTCATTTTTATTTTTAAAAAAGAGCAGACATGAGGATATTCCAAGTGGGCTTGTACTTCGTTTATGATTCCATTTAATCATTTGTTTGTTGAGAGAGAGGCCACTCTATTTTTTGGAAATACATGAGAAAAGTAAATACTGCAGTAGTCATTTATTTCCTAATTCTGCTTCTGTTAGGCATAATGTTTTGTTGTATTTAAGAATAATATTTATGCGCTATAGCCGTTGTTGCAGTCTATATGTTTTAATGAATCTTATGTGTCAATTTAGATCCTAAGCGAAGATTTTCTTATTTCAACAATGATGATGTTTTGATGAATCTTTAGCAGGGTCTGTTTTGACGTTTCAGTGACATAAAGTATAACGGAAAGCATAAAATAACACCTTAAAAAACCCAGACATTCGTTCTTTTAAATCTACTGTCTCTTGAGAAAAATATTCGGAGCATAAGGCTGAATATATCAGCCCCAACAAGCAACATAACCGCTTCTTTATCATCGAACGAACATTGATTCATTAAATAAACTAAATATCGAGGGTATTCCGTGATTTTTATGTATGTTTGAAGTTAAGTGGTCTGACGGCCGTCACCGTTAAACGGGACATGAATGTTTGTAGTTTGCCATGAATAATTAATGTCTAACTGCTGGGTGATCACAGATGTACAAATACTTTTAAATATAGCTCAATTTAAATCATGAAAGAGCCACAAGTCCATGAAAAATATCTCGGACTATAATGTTGATTTCCAATAGATCTTCTGTATTTTCCGACGAAATTATTTCGATTTATTACACAAGGAGTGTGTTATTTGAAGGATAAATAGGAAATTGTCTGAATGGTTGTACTTGCTTATTTATGCGTTGTGTTCCGCTTTTTGCAATTTTCTGATTTATACAGTTCGAATTATTTGAACGACTCTGAATCATTTGTGCTCTTGTGCCATTTTAGTTGTTGATTATTATATTTCGCTGATACACAGTCCCTAAATTATTTGTTTATTTTGCATGAATGATAATTTTACAAAACCCGTGTGCAGTATGTGTCCACACTAATTTAACCTCCTGATTTTTATCACCTTATACTGATTTGGTTTACATTAATTTCAGCACTAGAATGGACACAGTTTTGTGTACCCCCCGGACTCCGTCCCCACCCACAAAGCTTCCCAGGAGCGAGGGCAGCAAGCCCAAACTGGCGTTCTCAATCGACAAAATCATGGAACCGAGTCCTAAGAAAACCAGAGTGATCGAGAAAAGACCCCCATCCCCTGAACGCGTCCCAGCGTTCAGGAAAGTGCCCCGATCTGAGCCGAAGTCGGATCTAGGAGGGGGGTTCTCCTACCCTGCCCTTCTAACAGCGTCTTACCAACAGGCGGCTTACAATAATTTTCTCATGGGGGACGGGCGACGGTCAGGCATTCTCAATATCCCCCGGGATGCACGCGAGCCTGGACAGGTGTACCCCCTCTATCACCCAGTGTTCTCCAACCTCGCGCGGTCCAGTTACGAGGACTACCACGCGCAGCTTCTAAGAAATTACTCCCTTCTTCATCAATCCAGCCTCTCGCCAAATAAAGACCGACTTTTTTCAAATCTGGATCTCTTGAAATTCTCGGGGGTCCCTCATGTACTGTCGCAGGGTAAACCGCTTGGTCAGAGGTCTGCATTTGTTGTCCAGGAAAACAGAGACAGTTTGTTTACACGGGAGAAAGTTGCAGAAAGTCCGAAAATCTCTCCGTGTGAAGTTGAGGTGAAGGTTGTGAAAGTTGATAAGGAGGAATGTTGTAGCGATAAGGACAAGAGCTTTGATAAGGAGCCGGAGAGTAAGGAGGTGGAACCGAACAACAATGGCAGCAGTCCCGATAGTAACGGACTGAAGAAGCCTGTTAACAAGAGCCAGAAGACATTCACCTGTCCCGAGTGTGGGAAGGTGTTCAACGCACATTACAATCTCACTCGCCACATGCCCGTGCATACAGGCGCCAGACCGTTCATCTGCAAAATCTGCGGAAAGGGTTTCCGTCAAGCAAGTACGCTATGTCGACACAAAATCATCCATACTTCAGAGAAGCCTCACAAATGCAGCACATGTGGAAAGTCGTTCAACAGGAGTTCTACCTTGAACACACACATGAGAATTCACCAGGGCTATAAGCCGTTTGTCTGTGAGTTCTGTGGGAAAGGGTTCCACCAGAAAGGCAATTACAAGAATCATAAACTTACACATAGTTCCGAGAAGCAGTTTAAATGTTCGATCTGCAATAAAGCATTTCACCAGATATACAACCTTACATTTCACATGCACACACATAACGATAAAAAACCTTTCACTTGTCACGTGTGTGGGAAGGGATTTTGCAGAAATTTTGATCTCAAGAAACACATGCGAAAGCTGCACGATGGTACCTCCCCACCGTCACCAACCTCGGGGCAGAACCCCACCCCCAACGGTCACCCGGGTAGTACCATGTTCCCCCAATCCAACCTCCCCCCTCATTCGGCATTCCTGAGTCGCCCTTCTTTGTTCACGGGGTCAGCATTGGGTTGTCAAAGAAATCTTCTTTCCCCGTACATGTTGGGCCCAAATGCCGCGTCCTTGCTCCACAAGATTTCTTCTATTATATAAGGACTTTGAATGAGTGGCTAGAACAATGACTTGTCAGTGTGATGAACTACAACGCAAGAACTCATTCAAATGTTGCCGAAACAGTGAGACAATATTGCTGTCAAAGTGTATGACTGATTTCTCGGGTATTGTGATTTTTTGTTTGACATTATCTGATGTTTGACTTGGTGGCCTGCACACCGTTAGTGGTCGCGTTATGCATCATGGCTTGTGCAAGTACAGACATTTGACACCATTGCAATAATTGATTATGCTGCATTGTGATCGAGATGATACATTTCTACCATTCATTACTATGTAATTGATTACATCTCTCGTGGGTGCCATATTTAAAATATTTTAAAATGTTCAGAAGTGCTTTCAACACTGACCCCCAATATGGTCCATTTGCACGTGCAAGGAGTAAAATGGTGGGGTGTTTTCATCAACAATGTTGGACTCTTTCACATATTGTATTGCGTGTTCAATCAAATCCATTTAGATGAATTAAAATTATTGAGAATGAAGACAGTCTTCAATGTTTTATCAATCCTTGATTGTTGGCGGCATATCCAACACTGCTCACCAGATGGCGTACCGTTGGCGCGCGCGGCTCACGCGCTTAAAATCAAGCTAGATACAAGCGTGCGCGTGATCGGAACTGTGAAGAGAGCCGCGCTGAAAGGGTTAAGGAGCGATGTAGTATTGCTGTTGTTGAAGTAATATGTACACGTGATGAAATCACTTGACAGCAATGCGCAATTATATGTCTGTAAATTACAAGGCATTATATACAGAACTCGAAATAAAATAAATCGACTACATGTTATCTTTATTCATGGTAATTAAAAATTCAATATATACTAAAACTACATAGTTTTCCCGATTTAGTTGATTGACAGTTGACAAAATTATTACACAGTTTAAATACAAACAATATTAAGGAAATTATTTTGTTGCTGTACATTAGTTTTACTGACTATACTGGTTCCTAAAATAATGTAAAAAATACATCAATAAATACATTAATTAAAGAAAAGTACGAAATATCTATAAAAGAGGTATGAATCGAACAGAAGTTTTTTTTATATACTTACACGTATCACATGACATCAACATAAAATAAAATAATGTTTCGCATACATATACTATGGGCTTTATGATAGTACATGTTTCACTGAAATACATCACTGATTTATATACGTCGTTTACCTGGACTTATTTAACAGTTACTATTTTAAAAGTTAGGACTCTGTCGACTTCACAAGACAGAAATACTGTTTTCCCAAGTGTAGCAGAAATTCTGCAAAACCATTCAGTATTCTAAACTCAATTTTCAAATAGGCAAATGGCGGCTTTGCGTTTTCTCTGACACACGATATAATAAAATGAATTTGTGAAGAAAACAATGCTTGATCTTCAAGATATTGTGGTGTAATTGAACATGTAAAGTGTAATATATTGCAAAAACAGTGGACAAATTTCTTATATACACTATCGCACATATTTTAAAGACGCAAAATACATGTTTCTTTATCATTGTACGCATATGTCTATGAAATGTTTTACTAAGTTCACCATGTAAGAAACTAAACTTTAATCTTTAAAAGGTGATATTGACTCACGTTCATTGAGAGTATTCGTTCAGATTGTGCTAAAAATCAATTTTCTGAAGGAAGTGTCCTTGATTAAACTGGAGATTCTTCACTGGAGAAGGTGTATCGATTGCCAATAGTACATAATGGCTGTTGATTTTCAACCTTCGTTTCACAGAAGAGATTTGTAGTCGCTGTGCATCCTGGGTATTTGGTTATGTCTTGTGACAGTCCTGTGGTAACATTATCACTTTCAACGAAACTCAGCCTTATCTTCGTACACTGTGACCACTTCCAGAAGAAAAGAAACATGTTGATTGTCTAACGTGGATATCTATAGATATATTAAATTACAAACATTCAATTTTCGAAAGATTCTGTAAATTCCTGTCAACATGTGTCAATAAATATTCAGGTTACATTTTTTTTCTAATTAACCAAATTATACATTTTGGTGTTTTGTTTCTACTGATATAAATAGGTATTTTAAAAAATAACCCCATATGATAATATGATCTTTAAATTCAAAGCTTTATTTGCTTACCACCCATATATTTCTTATTAGATATTCACCTGATGAAGGAGTAAGCATGTACTCCGAAACGTTGTGTTCCTCATAGTAAAGAAGTTGACATCTATTAATTCTCTTCCTTATATATATTTCTTAGTTCGAAACACACTGAATACAGTGTTTTCGCATTAGATTAATTAAGAACAATTTTAAATAGAAAAACAATCGCATGGTTCTTTTAAATCGTTAATAATTTATTAAAACAGAAAATATATTATTCTTTTTTCTTGTTTATGTTAGTCAGTCTCTATTAACATGGTGGTGTGTTGGTACGGCTTCATAGCGATGTTAAGACAACAAATTCTGCCATTTCGAAGAAAAGGGATCATCTTCGATACTATTTAAATCAGAATTCACCCAGAACAGAATTCTTCATGGAAAGACTATCAAATAGGATGTGATGTCGGGAAAGTGATCCTCCGTGCTAAAACTTTTGAAAGAAACGTAAAAGAATATTTTAAAATCCTTTTGACTTGCGAATCCCTCAACGTAACACAATGGAATAGTTATCGAAGGGCGAGCTTTACTGACATTTACGCTTCAACTGCACCTCGTTGTCAGGGCATGGAGAAATTGGCTGCCTACTATCTCTAGATTGTCAGTCGAATCTCAAGTCCTCAGTACTAAATTCACCCCGTCAGTCAAGATGATATAACGCAGATACAATCTCGCAGATCACTTTCTCATTTAGTCATTTGATATCGAAATTACTGGAGTAGGTTTATTTGTCTAGTTATTTAGTGAAAAATAAGGAACATAAAATGTTATAATAGAGGACAAAGCATTAAATAAATAAATAAATAAATAAATAAATAAATAAATAAATAAATAAATAAATAAATAAATATGGTTTCTCGTTTAATTAAATTCATTTGAATCGTGTTTTATTCACCCGATGATACAGAAAATGCTGAGTGCTTTCCAGCCAACAGAAATAAAATCCTTCAATAATGTACTGGATTGACCTTAAGGGACTAAAGAGATAAAATGCTGACTTAAATGCACTTACGAAGAGTGAAGAAACAGAAACACTGAAGCCTAAAATAAGACTTAACAAACACTCAACTAAATGCATGAACATAAAGAACGTATCCAACAAACACTGCTTTTGTAAGGCAATATATAGAGATACAATTGAATTATTGCACTTTAACTCCGATAAATCGATACAATCCATTAGTAGTCGGGATTTGGAGATGACCGAGAGGGGTTGTGTATCTAATATTAATTGTAAAACAAACCATAACTTATTAAAATCACCCTCATAATGTCATTTTAATATCTTGTTTCATTCATTTTTATAGTTTATGACTGGCACTGAACACAATTATTCTCTAAGGAAATGAGTTTTCTCAGAGTAACAAAACGTTTTGAGTTGACAACCGAAACGCTCTTCTCGCTTTATTCAATCCAATGAAACGGCCGAATAACACCAAATATTTTGAAAACTGAAACTTTAATTTCAGTTCAAATGAAAATTTGTAAATAATATACAGCTGAAACGACCAAATACGTATATTATGTCGGACGTATTATATTGTATGGCAATAGTGAGAACAAAAGTGTTGTCTGGACCTGATAACCTCTACGTCAGAAAGATAATGTCTCAGTTTCAATATCATTGGTTTTTGCCATCCCATTATTTCACTGCAGGGCAATCCGATGCTGACAATCTCTGACAGCTTCCAGTGACAACGTTTACAGTCTATGTAAAACCACGTTCCCACGTGGCCAATATCCATATTCACACGGTTAATACTATCAGCGGTCATGTGAATGTATTATACCATCACAGGCTACTAGAACTCTTAATTATATATTACATGCATACTTGAACCTCGTTAATTCAAATAGCTAGGTTTCGTCAATAAAGATATCCATTGAACTACGAACTTAAAATGTTTCATTTTACAAACTTTAACCTCGCTAATCAGGATGTTCGATTTTCAAAAAGACCAATCCACATTTAATTTTTCTGGACATTTAAAATAATGGTTAAACCATGTAATGCATTATATACTGTTTACGGAGTAACAGGGTCCAGATACATGAGGTATGGTTATACACAACACGTATATTTCCACTGACAAGTAAACTATAAAATGTCTTTGAACAGATATTCCAATTGTATGCTAACTCATCTCTCATGTACTAATCGGATAATGAAAGGTTTACAAAATTATGGCCTTTGCATATATAGTACCACAATTGCTTATGGTTGGTAGTCTATTCAGAAAGTGTACCTATGGTTGCTAATGACATGTCACTTTAAGTGGGCGATGAATGACATAAAGTTGTCAATAAAACTGTAAAATGGTGTTTTATCAAGTGGAACAAATATGGGGTCTATTAGTTTTGGGCAGGTAGAATATGGCAATTACGGCCCAGTGGGGAGTAAATGCTGTTTTCTTTTGACAAGTTAGATGGTCGTGCTTTTGACATGGTCGTGCTCCAGTGGTAAATCTACAGAAGTGTTATACCTTGATATACGTCAGTGGTCATACCTCAATGAGCACACGCTGATAATTTTCTTCACTTCTCTATAAACATTGTGATGTGATTCGCTAATGTAAAGTAAATTGAATTGTTTATCAGAATGTCAAATTTCGAATCAAGATACGTCAGCATAAAAAGACCAAAACACAAAAAACACTGGACCATCTTGATGACATATCTAACCCTTAATAAAATATTCCATCAGTTCTGAAATTTGGCACTTCTAGCTTTTAAATAAAGGCATATTATACCTCCCTTTTACACATTTAAAATTTTATCAAAATTATACTTGTTTAAACAATCAAAGTTGTTACCTACAAATGATTTAATACAAGAGGTTTAACTCAAGTTCAGTTACAGTTAAGAGATTACTGCCATCGTCGAACGTACTCTAACACCACATTCTGTTCCACTCTAACGTCCATACTTTCTAATGAAAGATTTCTACCACTTAATCGTGATGGGTGTCAGATTTGGTGATTTATCCCAATAATCCGCAAGAGGAAGTCATCTAAACTAATACACTCTGTATACAGCTAATGTGAAAGCATGGATCCACCAGCATAGCAATCGGAAGTCCAATGGCTAAACGTTAGGGCGGTAAAGGTTATAATCCCCTAATGATGTAAGATAAATGTCAGCTTATCTTCACTTTGAGTTACAATACAGCACGCGCAGAAGCGGGGGCTTACGGGGTTTAATTGAGTTTGAGTCAATCAGCGGCCGCGGTGCTGAATCCTTGTTACTGTTGATGCTTATCCGCTACTTACATCAGATTACGGGGGATTTACACGCTTTCGTGGTTCTTTAAAAACATTTTCTCACCCTTCTTTAATCCTGATTGTGTTTTCACGCGTTGAGTGTTGCAACAA